GGCTAAATTGTTGAGAATGCTCTTAGTATTAGTATTTGGAGAGTTTAAGCCTTTGCGTGTCCCTATGCTAACAACTCCTATTCATTGAATCCAGCTTTGGAACTCTCACTTGTTACTCTGCACTTTGCTTTTCCTGCTCCCCTGTTTTCCTGCTCCCCATTCTCCAGCAGTCCCAGCTACTTCATGCTGCCGAAAAACAAACATTGCTACACGTGGGTGGCTTTAAAGAACAGAAGTAAGTTTTCTCACAATTCTGGAAGCTAAAAGTCTGATTTGGGTCTTGGCTGAGTGGATTCTTTTTGCGTGCCTTTATTCCGATTTCTAGTGTCTGCCCACGATCTGTGGCATTATTTTGCGTGTGAATGGGTCCTCCCATAATGTGGGCTTTCCTCCTGTGTCTGTGAGTAGCCATGGTAATTCTGATTCTGTTGCCGTTGTTTAGATTTTTTTAATTGGGTGAAAATTTTCAGTGCAAATTGATTTTTCATTCAACTCTTCATACACTCATTTCCCGCCTCCCCAACAATATGGAATGCAATACCCATAATGTAGCAACACTGTTTCAACTTTCTCCCCATGCGTATCACTTCCATTTGTTCTTTCCTATCCCATCTTGCTTTCTGAGCTTTGTCCTGGCACAAATGCTGCCCCTTTGATTGCTCTATGGAAGGCATACCTCCCTACGACGCACCTTATATTCCTGTCTATCATTTGGCTGAAAGCTGAGTCACAGGGGCGAGTTCAGTTCCAGACATGAAGGGTGCCTGAGGGCCACAGTCTGGGGGTTCCACCAGTCTCTATCAGACCAGCGTGCCTGATTAAAAAAAAATTTTTTTTTGAGTTTCTTTCCACGTTTTCCTATCATTGTATCCAGAATCTCTAACTGCAATCCCTTTCAGAACAGTTGGCAGTGGTGGTCAGACACTGTCTAGTTCTTCTGTTCTTCAGGTTATGGAGGCTAGGGTGTGAAGGTTCCATTGGTCCTTTGGACGATTTTCTGCTCTTTTTATAAGATACTTTCCCGAAATGATTACGTTTGGGACCCACATTCTTCTGGGGTGACCTCTTTAACACAGCAAAAGTCCACAGCATTGATCAACTAGGTTACATTTACAAGGACAGGGCTAAGATCTCCACATTACTGGGAAGGGGTGGCAGAGGGACGGGGAGATGATGCAGTTGGATCCGTGACGGTGTTTCTTCAGATGTCCTTATCTTCATGACTCCACGCACGAGGCCCACTTATCTTTGCTCATGTCGGAATGCTACGCATCCTACCCAGAAGCTTATCTACAATTGGTTTTCATGAAACTTTCTTGCACCAATGAATCTCTGACATGCCTGGTCTTCTCTTTCTCTATTAGAGTCCTCACTTCACTAGATTTCTGGACTATGGGTAGTTGTGGACCTGACCAAACCCAACCCAACTATTCTCAAGAAGAAAAACTATGTTTTATTAGCAGTTCTTGTGGCACTTATTAATACTTTGACCATCCAGATTTTTTAAAAAGTCAATGGAAAATCTTATCGAATCCCTCCTCCTTTACTCTTTCAGAGACTGCCTGCCGCATCTTCCAAGCCCCTCAGGGAGCATCAGCTCTTAGTGTTCTTTGCTTGAAGATTATTTTCTGCTAAATAGTGATAAAGCTGTGGAGTCAGAACACAGCAAACACTAGTTTCTTTGGAAGGCTGTGGGTTGGAAGCTGGTAAACAGAAGATAAGTGTCAACGGAAACGAATCTTCTGGAGACAGGGTGTGAAACAGACATGCAGAAACAAAAAGCGTGTCGTTCAATAAGATTTTCAATGTGCATCAAAGAGAACAGGATGATGTTTGATTTGGAACAAAGTACAGAACATGCAAGTGAAAAGACATGCACTTAAATGAAAATACTTGAGAAATCAAGCACAGGAAGGCAGACCTGGATGGGGAGCAGAGAGCTGTTAATGGATAACCTTCAAGCAATGTGACAGCCTAAACGCCAGTGGCATTTTGGGCTTTATAGAGGAAGACATTTTCCCAAATGGAAGGAAAGAGGAAGAGAGAAGTTTTAGAGGTTGGAGGAAAACCTCATTTTGATGTTTGATTTTGTTATCCACCTCCACAGTATTTAGAGTCTACAGTCTTCATTGGCCACATCTCCAATATTTTAAGAACGGTTTGAACCAAAAAATCAGGTGATATGCTTTTTTTTGGGTAAGAAAAAAAATAATTTACATTATTTTTTATAGCAAAAGATTCACAACTCTTCAGAGACAAATATCAGTAGAAGTTTTCCCAAGCTTTAAAATTGTCTTTTTCAATAAATACCAGTAGATCTTACTGTTGATGAGAGATTTCTGTCCTTGGGCTATTTCAAGGTACAGAAATAGGAGGCTATTCTATCTTAAGGTCAGTGGTTCAGAAAGATTCTTTCACAAAAAGTCTCCATAAGCTTATCCTAGTCATTGCTTCTGTTTGCAAGGTTACCTTCTTCTTCTTTTTTAAATATCTGAGCTGAGAAATACTAATTGAGTTTCATGGAATCATTACAGAGTAGCCATGGGTGATATGTTCTTCTGACTCAGCATGATGTAAAGGATCTCATGAGTCTTCCGTGGTGTCGAACATGATGTGGAACATCGTCTGTCTTTGTTCTTTCCCCTCTGTAACTCAGACACGTTACCGATGGGCAGCGAATTGCCGGGCCCTTTGTACCACGCGTCCTAAAGGGATTTGATCAGGCTATTCTCTTCGCAGATGCGGAACCATGATGGTATGTGAGTGATCCGATTCTCCTGGTTGCTTCGCAGGATTGTTCAAGAACCGTTTTCCTAGCCCATCAACTAACGTGGAGTCCTCCTTAATTAAGACGAGAGCACTAACCCCACGGTTTTTATGTGATATGAAGGGAAAGATTACTTTTGTCTGGGCAGAACAGAATTTGAAGAGAAAGAATTGCATTGTAAATCCCCAAATGCTTAGGGAAGGATAGCATCTCTGGTGGTGTAGGTGCAACCATTTAACATATTTGGCTGCTAACAGAAAAGTGGGAGGCCTAGTCACCAACCTCGTAAGCAAACCAGCAAACCATCACCAGCCCTGTGGGCTGCAGTTTTCTCTGATACGCACGTGGTCACCATGAGTTGGATTTTTCAAAAAGGGAACACAGAGCAAAATAAAATCACACCTACTACCATAGAGTTGATCACAACTTACAATGACCCTGTGGGAGAGAGTAGAACTGCCCCATTGTGTCGCTAAGGTTGTAACAGTCCTTTAAAAAAATAATTTGTAAATCATTTTATTGGGGGCTCTGACAGCTCTTATCACGATCCATACATCCATTGTATCAAACACATTTGTACATATGTTGCCGTCATCATTTTCAAAACATTTTCTTTCTGCTTGAGCCCTTGGTATCAGCTCCTCTTTTCCCCCCTCCCTTCCTCCCCTACCCTCCCACCCTCGTGGACCTCTGATCATTTGTAAGTTATTGTTATTTTCATATCTTGCACTATCCGCTGTCTCCTGGTTGTAGCATTCTTGTGGGGGCACACTGTCACTTCTTTCTCCCTCAAAGCAGCTGGTGGGTTTGACCTGTCAACTTTTAGGTTAGTAGACAAGGGCTTAACCACCATAGGGAAAGGTGGTTTAACATCTGATTGGGATTATTTATTCTTCTGAAGCTTAGATAGCATACCTTTAAGATCACAGGAGTTCATTTCTGCAGTGGGCCAAATATCTCTACGACGTTTAAAAATACCATGTACTACCACTGAAGTTTTGTTGTGCAGAATTTAAAGTCATGTGTCAAAGACAGGGCTGGGGGAAGGTGTCAGATTCATTTATGTGTTGGATTTACCCCAAAGCTAAATATTTTGATACTATGAATATGTATGCTATTCACCAGAGAGATATTACTTCTTGAATTGCTTCCCAGTATGCATTTGAGTAAAATGAAATACTTGATAAATGAGATGATGAGCTGCATAACTATCCCCATGGCCCGCTTTATCTGCAAAGCCATATTTGGGAGAATAAATTGGTGAATACCTCTCATTGGGTGGTCAAGGACATTTAAGCTGATATTAAATGATAAGCAACTGCCAGCCATTTGAAGATGCAGGCAAAACGAGCAGCAGGTGCAGAAACCTCAGCAGGAGAACAGACTTGGACGGTTAGAGGACCAAAACAAAGGCCAGTGAGGCTGAGTGAAAGGTGCTGGGGTAGAGAGCCGAGACATGAGGTCGTGACATGCAGATCAGACAGTAAATTAGAGTGAAGACATTGCACTCAATGCTTAATAAGAAGGGACACGATTGATATGCACAGGTAAGTGAGAAAGTACTGCTGTTGGGGCTTCAATTCAGACATTCCTAAGTTTAATCTAGATAAAATGTGTTTCAGCGTACCGGGCTATGAAAATTTCATTGGGAAACCTAACCCCCATCCACCCTGCAGCCTCGATCTTGCACCTTCAGACAACTTTTTATTCCTCAAACTGTTCTGAAAAAGAACGTGATTTGAATCCCTCGAGGAGGCCAAGCTGTGACTTTGAGAAGGCTCAGAGGGATGGAAACAACAGCTTCAGAAGGGTTTGGACATAGATAGAGGTTATTCCAAGAACCATAGCTTCACATTGTAATACTTTGGCTTAATAACAGGTTCTATTATTTTGGAGCAAAACTTTTTGACTCCACCTCCTATTTTTAATGGGAGAAATTGGTTGCTAATAACACTGGGTGAGAAGATGTCAGGAGAAGGTGAAAGTGGTGGCTAAGAGACAGGAAGTAAGTAGACTGGAGCAACTGCCCAGAACTGAGGTGCTAGTAATTGAGTGGTTAAAGGAAAGGAGGTGCTGAAAGAAGCCAGGTGTGCAGTCAAGTGGGGAAGGCAGGCAGGTGTGCCTCTGCTTCTACAAGAACTTCCATCTGCATTCAGGTTTGAAGGCCCACAGCCTTTTATTTATTTATTAAACTATTTAAAATTATCTATCTATCTATTTATTTTTTTTTTTAAGTGTAGGGCACAAAATAGTAGTGAACTATACTAAGTGGTATAGTCCACTGTGGAGTGTGGTCTTCTCTTTATTCTTCCACACAGCCCACACAGCCTTTTAAAAACCCAGTGTCTTCACAAGTTTAATGAGGATTTAGCTCACCATTGACTTTCTCATCTCTGAAGGTGATTTCATAATTAGGGGGCTACAATGTTTTACTCCTTTCTTGGCAAGCTTCCTGGCTATGGGAGTGAAGCCTGGGGTAGGTGGAGGCTGGAGAATGCAAGGAGTTCTGGAATGGTTACCTTTGCCTTAGGAAAAGGTACCGCGCATGGTCGCTTACTGAGGAAGTTTCAAGGTTCAAAGAGCAGGAGCTGTGGCTGTTCGGTCTTTGAGTCCGTTATGACTCATAGCATCCCTGTGGAAAAGCAGAAGGTTGGTTCTGGGCCATCCTCACAATTGCTGTGATGCTGAGCCCATCGCTGCAGCCGCAGCGTCAGTCTATCTCGTTCAGGGCCTTCTTCCTGTTCCGTGTGGACCCTCTGCTTTAGGGGAGGGGCAGGACAGGTTACTGTTTACCGTGTAAATGGCCAGGAGTCTTACCTACTCCATCTTCCATTTTACCTTATTGATGCTGTGGCGTGCTCGTACGTCATTTAAAACAGTTTTACAACAGAAAAAGCGAAGACTCAGAAAGGTTCTTTATTCTCTTTTTCAAGTTTTATTGGCCTCTCATCCACATATCATACAATTCAAAAGTTTAATGCTATTAAATAAAGTGGTACAGTCATCTCCATAACCAATTTTAGAACATTTTCTTCCTTCTTGTACTCATAGTTACCAGCTCCCCCCCGACCAAACCTTCTCTGCCTTAATCCTCAAGAAACCATCCATGCAGTCATTGTCTCCATAACTTTACCTATTCTGTATTTCATTTACAGGAAACCCACCCCACCCCACACAACACAGCTACAGTACAAAAGCAAAATAGAGAAAAACCTCAACTGAAAAGAAGGCAGAAAAATATTAAAAACTAGAACAAATTTAAAATGGGTCAAAGGGGAGATCAAATGATAAAGTGTACATTTTTAACCTAATTGCAGCTGCAATAGTCTGCGTTCCACTGCATTCTGCACAATAGCAAGGCGATTCTGATTCCTGGCCTGTGGTCAGAGGGAATTCATGAGAGGCTTAACGCATGTGTGGACCCTGTAAATGGATTTTGGGCTTCCACTGTCGTCCATAGCCTTCAGCAAGCCAGGTAGTCACAATTTAAGCTCTGATATCATTCCCTCTTTCATATTTGGCTTTTGTTGTTTCAATCCTTGGATCACAAAGGTGGGGCTGCTTCTTCTGTGCGGCCTCAGTTGACATCTCACTTAGATGGCTGCTTGTTTGGAGACAAGCATTTAAGATTCCATATGCTATTCTTTCTAAGAGACAGGTACTATCTAGTTTCTTCAGGACAGATTGCTCTAGCACCCATATCTTCATGATAGTGAGCATCAAGCAAGGTCATGTCATAAGAACTAATTGTTTTTAGACCGGGACTAGAATTACATGAGCCCCCAATCCATCCATATGCCTATGGTTTTATATATGTCTCTGTTCACTTTAGAGGCATTATTGACATCTTATGTTAGAGAGCATTATCAATCATCCCCCGGGGGCATAAGGTAATTCCATTGATAGTGACATTAATCTAGCCAATGGTAAGGAATCTAAAACACTGTTGTGGAAAGAAAACTGCAGAAGTATAGGCTGGCTGTAAGAAACTGCAAAGTCACACAATTTGTCAATGGTGGAGGCAGGATTGCAACCAGAATTCCTTTCTCTGAACTCCCCAAATCGCCTTGCCCCTTTGCATTACTAAGAGCCCATCAGGGAGAGGCCGTGGGCTCTTTCATGTAATAGTAATCGGCCTCTTCTGCCCTAGAATGTCTACCTGGTAAGGAGCCCCTCATACATCCCTCCTTGCTGCCATGATCAGGCTGGGCAGGGCTGGCAAGGGAGATTGCACTGCTGCTAGGTGATGGGGAGGGACTTTGTTGCCTTTTCCTTACCGCACCACACCACCCCACCCCCACCGCCCCCCGCCCCCAGACATTTTCCGCTTCCTCTCCTCTTCCTGTTCTTTTCCCTTACAACTCACCCTTCGCGCCCCCACAAGGTCCAACTTGCCCCTCTCCCCCGGGGAGCTGTCCCCCGCCACGGAGCTGACCACCTTTAGGGGCGTAGGGTCCTTGTTCCTTGAGCTCTAGCCTGGCTGTACGCAGAACCTTGTTCCTGGGCGCCAGAAGCCCGGCGGGCATTGACGTCAAGCGGCGGCAGAGCGCTGCCTACAGACGGTTGACCCGGACCCTCCTCCGTACTCTTTCCCGAGCTCGCCCCCTCCCTTCGCACCGCACCAGGGCTCGGGTTGCGCTATAAAAGGCGGGAGCGCGGGCTGCCAGAGCAGCGGCGAGTTTCAGCACCATGGAGAGCCCCCGCCTGCGGCTGCTGTCCCTCCTGGGCGTCGCCCTGTTGCTGCTTCCTTTGCTGGGCGTCCGTGCCCAGGAGGACGCCGAGCTTCAGCCCCGAGCCCTGGACATCTACTCCGCCGTGGAGGACGCCTCCCACGAGAAGGAACTGGTCGGTATCCCCTCCGCCCTGGAACCCCTTGGGCTAGCTCTCCGTCCCTGCCCCGACGCGCCTGCCTGGGTCCCAGCCCCAACTCCCATCCCCAGCGTCAGAGCGCGGGGCACCCAGAGCAAAGCCCAGGCACCCGAGCTCGTGGGCTCCTGGCAGTCTGTAGGGCGAATCCCCCTTCTGCCCTTCGGATCAACCCAAGCCTCAACTCCGCGGCCCGGGTCTTGCGCTCAGTACCTGGGACAGCTCCCGCGCACGAACTCTCCCCGGAACATGCATGTGGGCCCAGGGCCCCTTGTCTAGGGCAGGAAGTGAGCTCCTGGGCTGGGCTCCCAGCCAAGGCGGCAACTTGGAGCTCCGGGCGGTGTGTTGCAGATCGAAGCGCTGCAGGAGGTCCTGAAGAAGCTCAAGAGTAAACGCATTCCGATCTATGAAAAGAAGTATGGTCAAGTGCCCATGGTAAGGCTCTGGGGTCACCCCCTCCTCATGCTTTCCAGAGGGGGAAATGTGCCACTGTGAATCTTCACACGATCTTCTCCCTAGGATGTGCCGAAAAAACTCAGGTATTAGGGTTTGCAGAATTCTGTGGGCTCCCCTTTCTTTCGTCTCCTTGCCCTCCCCCTGAGTCCCCAGAGGCAAAGGGGAGACCAGACATTTCAGAGGACTGAAGAAGTCCCAGAGTTGGAAGATCTAGTCAGTCTGGGTCCTCCAGTTTTTCCTCCTTGCTAGCTTTTTTTAAAAGTTCAAGTTCTAGGGTCAAAATGGAAGATTCAGAGCTGGTCACTTTTCAGGTATCATGCCGGGTAAAAGATACAGTTCCCTCAAACACACAGACATACACACACTCCGTTTTTCCGTTGGGAGGAAGGGAAGGTTGTTGGTGGGTTTGGGGGAAGTTTTGGTTTTTTGCTTTTTTTTTTGGCCAAATTGCTTGTTTGTTTTTTCCCCCCCCCCCCCCCCTTTGGTAGGTAAGGAAAAGAACCTAGAAATACGATTCCTATTTCGTTTTTCTCCCAAATAGATGGAAGGAGAGAGAAGGGAGTCCAGTTCTTTAAAAAACGTTTTGGATTTTGCAGTTTTTATGTCATCAAGCTTAAATGAGAAGGCAAGGCTCCCTGCGTGGTGGTGATGGGGTCCATCCGTCCTTCCCAAGAGGCCGAGATCGCGTTGACAGGGAGACTGCCCCTAGGGAGTCTGGGTTTGCTATTGAGGACAGTCACTGGTGTGTTGTTTGCAGTGCGACGCCGGCGAGCAGTGCGCGCTGCGGAAAGGAGCGAGGATCGGGAAGCTGTGCGACTGTCCCAGAGGAACCTCCTGCAATTCCTTCCTCCTGAAGTGCTTATGAGGGGCATCCACCCGCCTCCCTTTATCCCAGCCCCTTCACGTTCCCCAGAGAACCGCACCTTCATCCTTGGAGATTGGCTTTGGCAACAAAGTTTGCACTTCCCACTGAGGGCGAAGGGGGCTCTTTTCCTGCTGTTTCCAAATAAAAGAACACATTAGATGTGACTGTGTGAAATGGTAATGCCTCCTTGTACTGTTGATACGCGTGCGAAGTATTCTTTTCTCATTTTACTTGTCTAACAACCCCCTCTGTATCTTTGTGTAAGAAAGGGATGTTTGCTTCAAAACTGTATTTTTGTATGTGGCATGATTGGATTAATATTAGTGCTAGTTAATCTTGGTAGATGACATCATTACCTGGACAATTAACCACCCCCAAGAAACACAAATTACAGCGAAGGCGAATTATACATAATAAAGTGTTTTTAATAATTGCTCATCACGCATTGTTGTCTCTGCATAAATAATTTCAGTAGGAATGATGGGATTAATCATGCTGTTGTTTTCTAAAAGAAACACTTTAAGAATAACAGCCTCCTGGGAATACTGTGACCCCCCCCCAAGGAGTTGTGATTCCTAATTAGGGCTTTCTCACGCAGGCTTGGGTGCACTCTATTTTTCGTAGAGTGCTGAGGAGAGGGCTGCAAGTGTATGTGGCGAGAGGGGGTAGTTGGCGTTGAGCTGATAGGATTTTGAGAATGGAGATCCTTCATTTTAATAGTGAGACCCATAAAAGACAGATGGTCTCAGATTTTAGGCTAAGTAAGCTATTAAAAAACCCAGCATTTTTGCTTGGGTAAGTCAATGTATCCACACACACCAACTCCTTGCTTAATGACTTTCTCATTTGAAAATTTACAAGGGTGACAACTTTGACAAAATTCTGAGGTGGCCTCAGTGCCTCCAGTGGCCCAGCCTCCCTCTCCCCACACCTGTGTGGCCCAGGATGGACCGATCCAATGCTAAACCAGAGCCCCAAGCAATGGCCAGTGGCTGACCAGCCACGGGAGTGCCTTCTTCATTTGTCCAATAGGTCTTAATGTGGCCACTGAGGGCATGGGGTGCTGGTGGGATGACTTGAGATTGAAGGTGGGCAGGGTCAGGCAGGGGGAGGGCATGGGGATGGATGGAAGATGACAGAGTCAGAGGAGGGCTGGTCGGTGGGGAGGATGGAGGATGAATGAGTCTCAGTCCAGAGTGGGTGTGATGGGAACACGGTGCATTGTGGACAACCCTTGTCTACCAGCACCAGCACCACAACTCCTGTGGGCTCTGTGGTGGTGGGGAAGGCATGATGGGAAAAGGAGGTCAATTGTTCCATGTACATACCAAGACAAAGTTGGGGGTGGTGGGTGGGGAGGAGTGGGAGTGCTTGATGGGTGGTGTGGGCACCAGCACGGAAGATAAGCCACCGTCTCTCTCACGTACAGGGGATTTTGCATAATGGCCTGGTCTTTGAAGCCTATGTCAATAACCGAGGACTGGGTGTACACTGATGAGACATGGGCTCTTTGGGAATTGAAGTTTATTCTAGGAAGGGAAGTAAGGCTGTCAGGTGCTCCTGAGGGTGTGAGACCCAGTCTTTCCCACTAATAAATATACTTATAAACATACTGGTGGGAAAGGCTTTATTCAAAGGAAAAAATCATTTCAGGAAATACTTTAAAAATACTTTTTATTGTGATTTAGCTGAAGGTTTACAGAACACATCATTTCAACTAATTCATCTCAGTTCCTCAATGTAACATCTTTTGTCCCACTTCCTCCTAGTGCTTCCTGCTTCCATTCTTCCTTCTTTCCTAACCCTGCATCCTTGGGCAAAGGCAGCCCTTTTACTTTTAAATGAATGACTATTCTCACACAGGTGAATTCAGTTCAACTGGAAGGGGGACTATGGGCCACGGTGGTACCAGTTTCTATTGGACCCCAACACTTGGTTCTCATCATTTTCAATTCTGTTACACATTTTTCTAGGACTTTATAGTGTGATCCCTTCCAGAGTAGTTGGTAGTAACAGGTGGGCACCCCCCTAGTTCTTGTGGTCTCTGAGTTGTGGGGACTGGTGTTTGCTTGGCTCATCGGTCCATTGGACTAGTTGTTCCTATGTGTCTTTTGATTTTTGTGTCTGTGTGTCTCTGCTACTCCTTCAGAATGAGCTGGTGCATTATCATATTGGGAAAAATTCCTTGGTGCAAATTTCTGTCCTGATTTTTTTGGTCCCCATTGCAGTTGTCAGTCTTCAATGTCTTCATAATAAACTCCTGTGATTGCTCTGTGTCTTTCAAGAAAAGCTATCCCCTGTGAAGTCTCCAGAAACCATCACAGTAACCTTCTAAACGGACCACTATCCTGAATTTCACTGGCTCAGGATATTCCCCAGGAAGCCACTGTTTGTATTGAACTTTTCATTTTATTTTCAAGAACCCTGATTACACTAAGACGGCCATATCAGTGAGACAATGTGTCTGCTGCCATCTAGTAATGGCAAAGGAATGCTTAACTCCATAATGCTATTCAGTCCATTAGCAATATTTTTTGCTTTACCTTTCTGTGTACATAAGGTTGCCATTAGTCAAAGAGAACGCAATGGGAACTAGCAACAAAAATCATAACTATCTATTCTTTCCCCCTGTTTTCTCTCTCCCCCCCACCCCACACACAAGCTTCAGCAAGTAACATGATAAATGGAGAAAAGTTGAAGCTATCAAGGATTTTGTCTTGCTTGGTTCCACAATCATTGCTCATGGAAACAGCAGTTGAGAGATCAAAAGACACATTGCATTGGGTAAATCTGCTGCATAAGACCTCTTAAGAGTATTAAAAAACAAGGATGTTACTTCTAGGACAAAGATGCCCCTGAACCAAGCCATGGCATCTTCAATTGCCTCATATGAATGTAAAAGTTGTACACTGAATAAAGAAGACTATAGAAAAATCTATATACCTGAATTGTGGTGCTGTAGAAGAATATTGAATGCATGGGCTGCTTAAAGGACAAACGGATCTGTCTTGGAAGAAGTACAAGGTGCTCCTTAGAGCCAAGAATGGCAAGACTTTGTCCTACATATTTAGCACATGTGGTCAGGATAGACCAGTCCCTAGAGAAGGACATCATGCTTGGTAAAGTAGAGGGACAGCGAAGGAGGGGAGGGCCCTGAAGGAGATGGATTGACCCCTTGGCTGCAAGAGGGGCTCAAGCATAGGAACAATTGTGAGGATGGTGCAGGACTGGGCAGGGTTTCATTCTGTTGTGCATAAGGTCTCTATGGGTGGAAACCAACTTGACGGCACTTAACAACAACAGCATCATGGGCTCTGTGCTGCAGCCTCTGGTACTTCTGGTCTTGGCCTCCATCACTTCAGACAGAGACCTCCAGAATGCTCCACTAGTGCTTTTTCCAATGGACACGGGACTTCTCTGTGTTCTTGCTTCTGAGACAGCTCTCATCCACAGACAAATGGTGTTAAGATGTGTTTTTTGTCTTTTTGCTGACCGTACCCACAAGGAAACAAAAGATGGTGACTTGCTTTTCACCTTCTAGGAATCTGGAGACTCAATATATCTCCCCTTAATCCTGTCCATTAGCAGAGCAGAGAACTCACCCCAGAAGTGGGGTTATGACCAGAGGCATACGTTAGAATTTCTAATACATCACACAAGGAATTATGGCAAGAAGGACCATACTGACTACCTCTCAAATGGTGACCTGAGTCACATCCTTTGTAATGTGGTGACTCAAGATACATCCCACCCTAATCCTCCCTCATTAACATAAAGAAAAACTCACTAAGATAGGACTGTGTGGATCATAACAAACTATGGCTAGGCTTGAAAAGAATGGGGATCCCAGAACACTTAATATGGCTTTTGTGGAACCTATACCTGGCTCAAGAGACAGTTGTGTGAGCAGAACAAGGGGACACTGCCTGGTTTAAAAGCAAGAAAGGTGTGCTTCAGGGTTGTATCCATCCCTATTCCATCTGTATGCTGAGCAAATCATCAGAGAAGCTAGATTCTATGAAGAAGAATGTGACATCAGGATTGGAGGAAGCTCATGAACAACTTACAGTATGCAGATGAGACAACCTTGCTGAAAGTGAGGGGACTTGAAGCACTTGCTGATGAAGATAAAGCCGTGGAGCAGACCCTCGACCAGGTGGATTGACACAGTGGCGGCAACAATGGGCTATAACATGATAACGTTTGTGAGGCTGGGACAGGACCAGGCAGTGTTTTGTTCTGTTGTACTTCGGGTTGCTATGAGTCGGAACTGACTTGATGGTACCTCACAGCCACCAGAAGATGAAACTCTATCCATCGGCGCAGAGGCCAGGATTTAGAGGACATCGCAAACTGGAGGACTGTAGCTAGACCAGCCCTTGGGTAATTCACTGCACCATACTGGTTGGTGTAAGAGGGATTCTAAGCCGAATCACTTCTGAGTTAGTTAGATTCAGAGTATCACAGACAGAGACCCTCCCCACCCCCCTCAACACACACACACACACACACACACACACACACACACACACACACGAAAAAGATGCTATGTGGGAGTTGGCGGAGAATCAGGAATGCCAATGACTACCAATAAGGAAGGACCCAACATGGCTGAGACTGAGACCCTGATTTAACGTTCTTTAATGGTTGTATTCGTGATTGCAAGAGCCCCACTCCATTTCCGGCTTCTAGGAAGAATTCAGGCACGTGGCTCTCTGGGGCAGTTTTTGTCCACTCCCTCCACGTGACTCAAGCGCTTAGCCACCTCAGTCTGCTTCTGATCCTTCAGCCCAGCAGCACCACAGCCTCTATCTGCTTCTGACACTGAACGCCTGTCTCGGGCCTACTTCTAAGTGTTACGTTTCCTCTTTGTATTTTCTCTGGTCTTGCGAGGGGATTGGTTCACGGCAGGAATTTACGGCACCATCTAGATTGGAAATGGATTTGCCTATTTCTCTTCCATCCACTGGGGAACCAGGAGGGCTGTCTTGGCATAGGTTGCCTCCATAAATGTGCCTGAATTCGGTTGGAATTCTTTCAGTTGAAAGATTTAAGATTTTGTTTGGTCAACTGAAAGCGATTTCTCTGGTTCTTGTTTCTCTGGTGTTCAGTTTTCTCCTCTGGCCTCTCCTTTAGATAAATACAGGATCTCTCACACCTACACGAACGATGTCGCTTTTCTTATCCCCCTTTCACCTTGATCCTTTTCCTCTGAGTCCTGGGGGAAAACCCTCAAGGTTATTCTCAAATGGATAGATTTGGCTGGACTTTGCAGCCAATCTTCCGTTGGCTGTTATCCGTCCCCAGACTCATTCCCCAGACTCCTTTCACTGAAATGGGTAAATATTCCTAAGAGACACAGATCATTCATTGACTCATGCTTTGGTTAGTGGTTTCCATATCCTCTTTTTAAGACACAGTTTTATCAGTACTTCATCCAC